CGCGCACGGGCTGCCGGCGCCTCGGGCGCAGCGGCGCGGGGAGTGCGAGCCGCACGGCGTGCACAGGAGCGGTCGGATGCGAGGCGGCGTCGAGAAGATGCCCGAGGCCTGGGTCGCCCGCGGGGGCGCGGAGAGAGCTGCTCATCGCGGCCTGGACTGGAGCTTGGCATCGCTCGGACGTGTGCCTTTTTTTCTCGGCGACGGCCATCGAGGAGCATCCTTGATCATTTGGCGAAAAAAAACACGCACACACGCACGACATCGAAAAATGCACGAGAGGAATGGACGTCCGAGCGATGGCGAGGGAGAGGTGCCCGTCTCCAGGGCGGCAGCCCGAGGACGCGGAGATGCCACCGCGCACCACGCAGGCGAGGGGCGCCCTGTACGGAGCTCGGTGGCCCAGGACTCGGATGTGGGGCCCTGTCGAGTCTGAAGTGAGAGCCTTGTGTCGGGCCGATTTTTGTCGATGTGCCGTGCCCCCCCTGTGCTCTAGGCCTCCCAGATGGGGTCGGAGTAGATGGGGTCGAAGGATCGCGCCACATCGCGGATGCGCCGACGATGCGGCCCGATGAGGAGCCCGACTTTCGCCACGCCGACGGCGCCCGTGCATCGCGGGCATCGCCGCCGCATCGCCGATGCATCGCCGATGCATCGGCGATGCAGCGCGATCCTTGGACCCCATCTGCTCGGACCCCGGCCTCTATCGGAGGTGGACAGACCTCCTACCCTGACACGTCGATTAAGGAGTTGGCCGTTTTCGGTTCGCGAGAGGGCGTCGCGGCCGTCGTCTTTGCGGGTCCAGGACCGTCGGTTTCGGTCCCAGGCCGTTTGCACTCGGGGGAGGTCTACTAAAAGGGATGTTTGTACACCGCCGATTGTGGGTGAGGGGCAGGGGTGTGGGCGTCGCCAGGGGGGTGGGGGGCAAAGGCAGCGGCGGAGTCAGAGGTAGATAGCAAGGTGGACACAGGAGGAGGGTTCGTTGAAACATGATAGTACATGTGCGGGTGCGAGCGCAGGTGGAAGTCAAGGTAGCTACAGGCGGAGTTTGAGTGTGACCCTGGCGTTGGGCACCGGCAGAGGTCGACACGTAACTAGAGGCACGGGTAGGTGCAGCGTGGTTCTTGGGGCAGCGGCGGGCGCGTGCTGAGGATTCGGATTATGTGGCGTCGGATGGAAAGGCCATGGCGGAATCAGAAGCAGGGGCAGAGGAAGGGGTTGAGGTAGCCTCAGGAGCCGAGGTAGACGTGGACGCTTGGCATTTTTAAGTTCAGGCGCAGATGTAGTCGCCGGCGTGCGCGCAGCGTCAGGAGATGGAGGATCGGGTTTTTGAGTGGGTGTGGGCAGAGGTGGATGTACAGGTTGACGTAGAGGTAGCAACAGAGACAACCCAGAGCTATAGGCGTGGGTGGGGGCGGATTTGGGTTCAAATGCAGGAGCGGCGGCCAAGGTGGAGGTGGATTAAGAAGCAGAGGTACAGGTAGAAGTCTGCGTCGGGATGTTGATTGGTTGGAAGTCGGACACCCGAAGTTGTACGTCGAAGCAATCGGAGGCATGGATGTGTGATTAGTGGTGGATGGCGCCGTTCGTCGGCGTATGCAGTAGATGTAGGCGGACACACACGGGCGGTGGCATATACAGATGTGGAGCAAGTCGAAGACGCGAAGGGACCAACAAGAGTTTAAGATCGTAAAGCAAACGGAAATAATCCCTGAGTCGGGCAGATGATGAAGATAAGCTTGGAGGAGGTGGTGCCATAACGTCAGCGGCAGTTGCTGGTGGGTGTCGGCGAAGGGCTAGGTATAGAGGTGGACGCAGCGTTCTGGGTAGAGGTAATGACATGTTGCATATGTGGTGGAAGTGTTTATTGGGTAACGGCCAGGTGCAGAGGTAGAGGGAAGCTCTGGTATGCAAGAACTGCACATGCAGAGGCAACAGTAGAAGTAGAGGTAAAGGCGACGGTTTGGTCATCTGCAGAGCCACAGAAACAGGGACAGCAGACACGGGTGCACGTGGGGGCGAAACGGATGCTGAGGAATTGTGAGCGGTTTGGGTACTGACAGCGGTAAGAAGCCACATAGGGGTGGATGTGGAGGTTGTTACAGGTGTCAACGTAGAAGTGCAGATTATCAATTCAAGGTTTGGGTTAGAGGGTGTAACTTCTGATCGGTGCTCACACCTATGTGCATCAGTGTAGTTATAGCAGCAGGTCAATGATAGTTGTGGATCTATATTTACATATGAGGTAAGCGTTGAGGTGTAGGCAAACGCAGAAGTAAACCGAGAGGTAGAGTCGGCGATATAGGTAGAGGGACAAGGGGCAGCGATAAAGGTAAGCGTGGACGAAGGCGCAGACGTTACGATAGAGGCGTGGAAACACACCAGGGACAGGGGCAGTTCGAGACGTAGCGGTAGCCCTGGAGCAAGAGCTTGGGTGGAGTTTTGGGCAGGAAGCGACGTCCAGGAGCAGGAGGCAGAGGAGGGCCTCCATCGCCCCCGTGTC